TTTCTAACAAATAATGGATTATTTTTTACCCCAAGGTTCAAGTGACATTGGAGGGTAATGTCAATATCATGGGGTGACCCCGGGGCGCTCCGGTGCCCCGTTCGTAAAATTGACAGTTCCTACCCCACTAACCCCCGGTGTGTGTGTGTGTGTCTGTGTGTGTGTGTGTGTGTATGTATGTATGTACATACATACATACATACATATATACATACACACACACACACCGGGGGTTAGGGGGTAGGAACCGTCAATTTTACGCTCCGGTGCCCCGTTCGTAAAATTGACGGTTCCTACCCCTAACCCCCGGTGTGTGTGTGTGTGTGTGTATGTATGTATGTATGTATGTATGTATGTATGTATGTATACACACACACACACATATACATACATACATACATACATACATACCTACATACATACATACATATATATACACACACACACATAATAACTCTTTTTATCCAAATTTACAATGTAAGACCTCTCAAACGAGTGCAAAGATGCTCTTTTATCCAAATGTTTTTGTTTTTATACATTTGATATAGTTATTCTTTATTTTTAATAATTTAGTTATTTTTTTTACTATTTTATTTAAATGATACGTTTGTTTAATCTGAAAAAAGTAATTTGTATTATATTTCTTAGTATTTATTTCCTTATCACTTTCAATAGTATATAAGGAAAGTCTTAACAAGGAAACATTATTTTTAATTAGGTTACTTTCATGGGAAATTTTTAAACATTAATTTTTTTCTATATAATAAATTAAAAATAATTCATTGAAAATTATTCAATAAGTTTTAATAAATATACTTTTATGCTAAATGTTATCCAATACCGATTTTGGTGTATTATATATTCCGGGTAGGTTATTGTTTTTACTTTTCAAAAAGTATAAAATAAAAAAAATTAGACATTAATCTGGTTATTAAACCAAAGTTTTACAATTTATTTCTTTACAAACTACGTCAAGAATCACACAATAGTTTATTATATGACTTGTTTTGAACATAAATATACAAATAGTTTATCTTTATGTATCATAATACTTTTTCATGATTCAATATTTTTTCTCCATTTCTAACAAAATTTTCAATTGCTCAATACACTATTTTCTTCGCCTCTAAATAAATTTTACATGATTGTTTGTTTATGATAAGTTAAAATGAATTTAGTTTTGAATATATTTCTTTCAATATTGATATGAAATATAAAATCAAACAACATATTATAAAAATTAGATTAATATTTTTAAAAAAAAGAGACGGATGGTTTATAATAATGTTCAAGTATAAAAAAAGATTATTACACATAATTTTGTAAGAAATTATTTTAATCATATAATTTTAGTTAATTACAAGATAATTTATACTTTATAGGCTTTTAGATGCTTTATCATTTAAATGTAAAAATATTTATTTTTATTAGCTTTTAAGATATGACAATTGATTTAAGTAAATTATATAATGTAAATGATTAAAATAAAATTTTATAGGCTTGACTAGTTTCTTATTCAAACATAAAAGAAGTGTCGAGATTATTTTTTAAATGATCAACTGTTTAAATCAAATAAATTTAAAAAAATATTTTCATAGGCTTGAATAGTTTCTTATTCAAACATAAAAGAAAAAAGAATTGCATGAGAGTTTGCCAAATGTATATATAAATTTCCATTCAGAATCATAAGATTGCTAATATTTTTTTGTATTATTTTTTTGAATTAATGCATTAGAGAACAATCATTGAAATTTCAATATTTATTTAATTTGTTTTTTAAATCATACAATGTATAATTCAAGATTTGACAGCAAAGTGAACTGAGACAAATAATCAATAATGTTATTTAAGTTATTCAGACATTCCAATATGTGTACCATGTATACATATGGGGGTAAAGAACACATGCTATTTTTGGATTAAGAATTATATTTTAAGAAATGTCCCTAGATAGAGGTAAAAAATTATTAAAATATCAAAATATGAGTCTTAAGTCTTTTAATACCAAAAGATTAGTATATTGATAGGGTAATGTAAGAGTATACATTGGAGTGTGATGGAAAAGTGATAACAATAAGGCTTGTGTTATAAAATAAAGAAGCACTATTTTTAAATTTGTAATCCCCCCCTCAATGTATTAACTTTTAGAATGGATATATTAAGCATTTACATACTTTTTTATAAGTTTTTCCCATAAATAATTAACATAAAATAATAATGTAAAACAATATTAAAATATACAAACCAATGTAAATATTATTCATAAAATTTGAAACTAAAATAACATTACCCTTGAATCTAATTGGAATATTGAAACAAAAAATGAAAAAAAAAAACAAAAAAATAACCATATAATTTTGGTTAAGGAGCAAAAATTAGATATCTTTTTCAGGGAATATTTGAACATATTGGGAATATGATTTTTTTAAAAATCCAAATCTTATAATTTTAATAAAACCTTAAATATATGATTTTGCAATACTACTTGCCTTTTTTCAATTTTAAATCTTATAAATTTAATAAAACATTAAATATAGTAATTTACAATATAACTAGCTCTTTTTTTAGATTTGTTACATAAATCACTCAATTTTAGAGTCATATTAATAAAAATAATTGATACCCTTAAAATTCAATTACAAAATGTTCAGATATAATTCAAAAAATGTGTCATTCATCTATCATTCTCAACACTTTTTGTTTCCTTTTTAGTAGCCCTGATTATTTCCCCCTTTTCAATTTGTAGTGTTCTGTTGAAAGATTTCTCTCAATTAAGGTTTAGAATCAAACATATAAAGAATATGTGTTGGAACACACTTTGTACGATAAATTAAAGTCGTGTTTATTTCTGACAGGTTTTGATAATTGCCAAACCGCCGTGGATATAAAGAGTTTCGTTGAATAACTCAAGGCGTGAAGAATGGCTTGGAACAAGACCTAAAAGACTCATGGACAAGATCAAGAATTGAAGACTTAGTCGAGTCGGTCTTTTGTGATCAAAACCGACAATAAATTCAAGTCTCGGTTCTCAAAAAGTCAAAACAATTTTTACAAATCATAAAATATTTTTTGTGCATCAAAACAAACATTTTTTATGATTTCTTTTATTGTTAAAATCCCTGTTCCTTGCTCAGAACTGAAACCACCTAAGTCGGCGTTCGGCTTTCGACGTTCGGCTTTCGGCGTTCAGCTTTCGGCGTTCGGTTTTTGGCGCCCGAACCAACTCCGTGGTTTTCAATATTTTAAACCCTGTTTTTACCTTTGAGCATTTTTAAAATGTTCCCAAATAATTATTTTATAAAAACCACTTTTGTATCTTGGTCAATCGGTCTAACACGTGAAAAACGGTTTAAACCGTACGCACGTATTATACGACCTTGGAGACTTGAGTTTTACCAAACAAGTCTTGTTTTCACTATTTTACACCATATACAATATTTTCCAAACCTGGTTTTTTACTTTTGGGAACACTTCGTTTTTGGACCTCGGTTTTTCAAAACGGGTTTCAGCTGGCTAGACTTTAGCTGGGTGATAATCGATTATCACCTTAGTGACAATCGACTATCAGCCCCTGCAGCTTTGAACTTCCAAAGTTCTGAAGCACGCAATAATCGATTATCAGCTTTGCAATAATCGATTATCAGTCTTTGCAGCCAAGATCCAGAATCTTCTGAGAGGACCAATAATCGATTATCACTTGTTGACAATCGATTATCTGGGTTACCGTTGTCCTCCAACGGATAGAATTTTAAATTTTTGGACAGGGAATCTTTGGATAATCGATTATCAAACCATGATAATCGACTATCAGCCTGTGTCCCTGAAAAATTTGTCTTCATCCTGTTGGAAATTCTAGCAACGGGTTTATCCCATTTTGGGCTATAAAATGGCACCCAAATCCTCTCATTTTACACACAATTCTTCAACATTTCAATACTCTTTCATTGCATAAGCATTCCTATTTTTCTTAGCTATTTGAGAGCCAATTCTTGAAGAAATTGTCGTGTTCTTGAGCGTTTACTAGTTCACTCATATCTACTCTTTGTGAGAGTTTTATTCCTGAGTGTTTAAGTGTTTTCATACACTTTAAGGGAGGTTGTTCCCTTGTTGAAAACTCGAAGGAAGTTCCTTGTTCCTTCGTGAGAAGTCTTGGAGTGCGGTATCTCCGAGCAAAGGTGTTGAGGCTCGTGTGACTCGGGTTCTCAAGTTGTATCGGTTTGTTAAGCACCCTTAAGCTTAACGGAGTTAGTGTAGCTCGAGAGAGTCTCTCGGGGGGCTGGATTAGCCACACGTTGTGGTGAACCACGATAAAATCCGGTGTGTTCCTTCCTTACGCTCTTTACTTTAACGCTCTCGTTTTAATTTCCTGCGGTTTTGTTTCAAACGCTATTCACCCCCCCTCTAGCGTTGGGCCTTTATTCTAACAATATGAAGCTAGTTAAGGTAAATCAAAGAGGAATATGAATTGAATATGCACAAAATCCAAGCCCTTTGTAGGAACTTCTTATGGGGATCCACTCCTAATCATAAGAAAACTGCCTTAGTGGCTTGGGAGGAAGTTAGTTTACCAAGAAAATATGGAGGACTGGGTTTTAAAGAATTGATTTCTTGGAAGAAAGCAAATGTCATGAAACTGGTGTGGGATATTGCTATGAAAAAGGATATACTATGGATCAAATGGATTCATAGTAAATATCTCAAAAGAGTGAGCATCTGGGATTATCACAATAGAAATGATGATTGTGTAACGACCCAAAAACCGGCTTAGTAGTTAGTCGTTATTTTTAATAAAAATAAACATAATATTTATTTACTCTAAAATATGAATTATTGGTAAAGTTATCCGTTTTAAATGAAAATTGGGTTTTCGGGTAAATCTCGTAAAATAGTGACCAACGGTATATAGTTTGTTAAATTCGGACTTGCGTGTAAAGCGTGATGACTAAAATAGACATTATAGTTCAATAAGTAAATATAAAGATTTTTATAATAAAATATTAAATTATATTTCCTAATACTACCCGTACACCAAAACCCTTCCCTCCCATTATATATCACACGCACACAACACAAAAAGATGGAAAAAGAGAGAAACAAACCTACGGAATACTTTGTGCGACGGTAAAAGAGAAGGAGAGAACAGCCGCAGACCAGAGTCGGAAGGAAGGAGCTCGACACCGCCGTCGTCGTCCTGTGTCGCCGCTGCCATTGGGATCGCCGGAAACAGCCCAACCAATTGATTCTTGTTTTGCTTAATTCGTCTAATTATCGAGGTCAGAACTTGCACATCTAACGCTAGATTATGTATATAGATTTGAAATTCACGTTCGTAGTTTCGTATGACTGATTACTTGGTTTATTTGTTTACAATTGAATTATGATTTAATTATATTATATGTTATTGTTGGAGTTGATTGAACAAGGATGACCAGGTACGTTTTCTTACTTCGAATTTGTGTGATTTGCATGATGGTAAGTGGAAGGTGTTACACCTGACACTAGGCCGCTAATTGAGTTGTATGATTTATTGTCTGATTAATGATATATTTATTGTTATGATTAAATATAATCCTGTTGGGTTATGGAAGTAAATAAGGAAGTGAGATTGCTGTTGGCATAAGCTTGAATTATAGAGATGTTGTAAATAAATGATTATGCTACCTAGGGGAACTCTAGGACTGCCTTAGTACAATTGTAAGTATAAATGTCAATAGATAGGATCAGCCATGCGGATCTGATATCCGACGGCTGCGGGTTAAAACATACGTACGGGATCCAAGAACTGTCGTTCCGAAGGGGACAGGGGTACCACCCACCCAGCGGAGAACTCCTTCGTTGGTCATCAGGTTGTGTTGTGTCATAAGGTATTAAATAAGGTAGACTTGAGTCATGGCCGTAGGTAGTGACTCTAAACCCGAACATAAGGTTGTAAATAAGGAGGTATGGACTTAGTCTGGTAATTATGTTATGAGCAATGAATAAAGAGGAAATAAGGTAATGATTTGTGACTGGTGAATTTATTTAATGATTGTAATGTGATATTATACTGTTAAACTTGTGTGCATGATATTGTATGGAATTATGAGCTAGTGGGTTCGTCTATGTGCGTAGTCGAACGTTAGATAGATTCCACTCAGCTTCAATGCTGAGCGTGTAGCCCTTTTTCCTATTCGCTACACGTAGGTAATATGAATGATGAATAAGGAAATATCCTGGAGGGCAGCAAGGGCAGAGAGGTGGATGGATGCTGGCTGGAGGAGCTATCTAGTTTAGTTATTGCATTTAAATTAATTATGTTTTTAAGGGCGAGAACCCAAAGTTGTATTTTGATTAAATACTTAAAGGCTTCCGCACCGTTTTACTTACTCCGATGAATATTTATAAATGTTGTTTTTGAATTAAATGTTTTAAATGTTCTGAAAATTATCGTGTCTGAATGCCAATCTAGTAGCAACCCGATCCGCTGGTCATTGTATTCGGGTCACGCGGGTTGGGGTGTTACAGACAAGTTAGAGACAAAATTAGGAGATGAGACACAGGAAACTACTCCCATGATAAAGGCTATCAATGGTTTCTAGGTCAAAAACAGAGTGTGGAATGGAGGGACTTAGTCTGGAACAAACTCTCAATACCCAAACATAAATTCATCATGTGGCTCCTGTGTAAGAACAGACTTCAAACTAAAGTCAGATTGTCCAAGATGTTTGATATTGACACAACATGTCCCTTATGCAAAGCTGCCCCGGAAGATGCCCATCATTTGTTCTGTAAATGTCCCTTTACTGAAGAAACATACAACAAACTGCATAATTGGTGCCTTTACAGTTTCAAAAGTAATAATTTGAATGAGCTGTTTGGAGGAGTTAAAAGGGCTCAACAGGAAAGAAAAGACGAAAACTATACTCTATCCTAGCAGCAACAATCTACTTTGTTTGGAATGCTCGTAATCGATTGGTGCACCAAGGCTTGCATATGTCCAGTGAGGAGATTACTCAGCAAATTAAGTTCCATGTAGATACTTATATGAGATCAAGAGTAGGAGTAAAATAGGAGTATTTTCAGTTAGTTGTGTTGGGTGTTATAATTGACAGTACCTTTGTATTTTGGTATGCTTTGTTGATTAATATATATTTGCATTTTTGTTCAAAAAAAATATGCACAAAAAAGTAGAGGTGGGATAAAATTAAATAAAGGGTATGAATTTCGGAAACAATTAACAACGAATGCAGCGCCAACGACATAACTGAAAGAGCTAGAAGATTTCTAAGAGTTTCCTTATGCGAAGAAGAAGAACCAAAAATTCTGATGAAGAGCCAAGAGAGACTATCGATTTCCAAGAGTTTCAATTTCCAGAATATCGGATGAAGATCGCATGAAGAGCCAAAAGGGACTATCGATTTTTGAGAGTTTTCTTATGTGAAGAAGAGCCAGAAGATCGGATGAAGAGATATGGTATCTTCGAGTTTTGGATGAAGAGATATGATATCTTCGAGTTTCCTAGGGTGAAGAAGAGATTAAGAGAAGACCTAATCGAGAGACAAAATTGACGGAATTTTGAGAGTTTCCTTCGATGGTGAGCAAAGAGAAGGAGTAAATTTTGGAGTTTCCTTCAATGAAGAAAGATGAGAGAGAAGAGTTGCTCCTCTCTTTTGCGTGAGTTTCCTTAGGAGAAAGAGCTAGTTGTCTTAACCGTAGAAGTGACACATGGTGATCCAGTGTCAAAAAATTAGGCCTTATCATTGCCAATTGGCAAGTTCTTAGAGTATGTAGTGATTTTTATATATAAAGGATAATGAGACTCTAATTTCAAGAAAGTCGACATGTGTCGTTTGATATCTAAGTACCATTTTAACCTGAACGACGCCCATGGTTATATGACATTTTGTTCTATTCTGTAATTCTTCTACTTTCTAAGCTCTGCTCTTAATTGCTTATAATTCTTAAAATCTATTTGATTGAGAGAAAGATTTTTCCAGAAGATTCTAATTATTATATCTTACGTTTTATTACATAAATTTTAGGAAGTTCTTTTTGAGGAAAAATTTAAATTTTAAATTTTAATTTTTACATTTTAGATTATAAATTATAAATTATAAATTTTAAATTTTAAATTTTAAATTTTAAATTTTAATTTTAATTTTAATTTTAATTTTAAATTTTAAATTTTAATTTTAAATTTTAAATTTTAAATTTTAAATTTTAAATTTTAAATTTTAAATTCTAAATTTCAAAGTTTTAAATTTTTAATTTAAAAATCTTAATTTTCAATTTTTAGTTTTCAATTTTTAATTTTTTGTTGTTAATTTTTAATTCTTTAAGTTTTAATTTAAAATGTAACTTTTATGTTTCTAAAACTTAAATTTTAAAATTTTAATTTTATTTTTAGTTTTTAGTTTTTAGTTTTAATTTTTATTTTTTTTAATTTCTTGATTTTTATGTTTATCTCTCATTTTAAATTTTATGTTTTAAAATTTTTATATTTAAAGTTTATATTTGAAATTTTCAAGACACAAATCTCTAAGACACGTTACATTATTATGATCCAAAAATGATTTGTTTGATCTCAATTTGGCCCGTAGAATTCAAATGATCTATTTTAATTTTTTTTCCTGCAGTATTGATTTTAAAATCTGAAATTGGTAAGTTTAAATTTTTTACTTTTAAATATTAATAAAAGAAACAATTTTTTAAAGAAAATATTTTAACTTTTACCAAGCAACAAAAAATCATTTTTCTTAAAAAGTATTTTCCTTTAAAAGAAATATTTTTTCTAGAAATATATTTTCTCTCCACAAACACAAGTGCAGAACCTAAATTATAAAGTCGTTCATAAAGAATGGAGTTTACTTGCCAATGCCCTTTGGTTCCACGGTTGAGTAATCTCCAACTGGGGCACCCCTTCCACCGGCAGAAATTTTTAAGATGGAGATCTGTGAATGAGTTGAGGAATTCAAATGGCGAACAATATCAGAGGCCATTATAATAGGACCCGAAGGGCATTTCCTCATTCAATTGCTCTCTATAGTTTCCTTCTTTTTGCTTTATGGGTCTTCATATTTACTTTTAACAGCAGAGAAATCTTTGAGGATGCCCAGAAACCTCTCTTTTTATTGGAGCCCGAGCAGGTATTTTCCCTTCTCTTATTTGGTGCTTCTTTGGTTATCTTTAGACACTTTGTTGTTCCCGGAAGTTGGGTTCATTTGATATGTTTCGCTTGTTAATAGTTTCAATTTGCGATGCAATTCTGCCTTGGTAAAATTACTGAAAGAAACATTTTTGCTATGGCTATTTGATTTCCATGATCTGAGATCAATTAGAGCACAAATGAATCCCAAAGCAATGTTGATTCCCTGATATTTTGTGACGTGTTGCAACAGAATTAGAGCCTTTTGGCTAAAACCATTTGTGCAGAAGTAGATGTTGTTTCATCTTGGTATATTTTCCCATTAAATGAGCACTTTGCACCTTTGGGAATATTGTTTAAGGTCTATTGACTGGTCTAGGGTGTCTTCTTGAAAGATGACAATGGCCAGCCATTGAGAATCCCTTAACCCTCATTGGTTGGTGTAGGAATGTAGTGAGCTCGTAAAGTTGCTCCAATTCATATTATTGTTTTTGGATATATCTATCGTGTTATCCAACTTAACACATGCTATCTCCTTGCAGAAGGAAGCTGGACATCTATGGGGGGCTCCTTATAGCAATGGTTTACAACCTTGTGTCAAACCTACTGTTAAATATAAAGGTTTTCTTCTGCAACTTCACCTTTGCATGATGTTCATGTCACTGAGATGCACTCGTCCATTTTCTACTGAACTTTTTTTCTAGTTTGCCTTATATTTTTTTTGTTCAGCTACAAATGGATGGGATAAGTACATGACTGTTAAAAGTAACGGGGGTTTAAATCAGATGCGCACCGGGGTAAGTTAGACCCTCTCCTGTTTCGAGTCAATGAGTCATATTTGCAAGGTTTTTGGTTGAAGAGTCATTTTTACAATGTTTTAGCTTCAATTGAATAATGGACTAAATTAGAGTGACACTGATAACTTTCCTTTCTTTTTACATTCTATGAAATTTTGGGCAGTATATGCAACAATGCATCAAGGGTCTAGCAAAACAACCTCTCTATGTTTTATAGGGGTAAGGTTGCCTACATCTTTCATCGTTGTTGAGTCATGTTTGCAGTACTTGACCTTATGATTATATTTACATTCTTTACATCCTGACCCAATACTGTTTATGGAATGACATCTTTGAACATGTCTCGATAAGTTCATTTTCAATGGTTTCACTCTCTATAATGCTAAAAACTATGGTGGTAAAATGTGCTTAATTTAGAAAGGGAGCCTAAATGTAGACAGGTATTTTGTTTTCCTCTTCACTAGGTGTAGGAACATCTACAAGATGTATGTTTCATGCTGCTTTCCACCCTCAAGCGCTTCATAGGGAGTGAAATTTTAATTACGTCTAAAATTCTCTTGCGTTTGTTGCTTAATAAAAGGAATAACAATATCAACAGTTGCAATTTGAAAGCACACACATGACAACAACACAATTTGCTTTAGATTGAAATCGCATAGCATGTATGGATTAAGAGTTCCTTTGCTAAAAAAGGAAGTATAAGACACTTAAGTGATGTTAGATAAGGTGATGAGCACAAAAAGGCGATTGAAGGTTGTTCACTTTTAGAGATGGGTGGTATAATTTTATTGCTCAACAGGAAATCCTTAACTGATGAGTTAATTCTTGTAGTTAAGTGTTTTTAAGCTCTTGAATGTTTTCAATGTCGTAAAGATGCAGTCATGCAAATCTCATGTCTGATATTTCAAACAAAATCTTGTAATATATGAAGGGTAATTTACCTAAATAGGACTAAAACATAATGACTTTCTCAATATAGGACCATATATTTTTATTTCCCAATGTAAGACCATTGGTCATTATCTATTAGTCATTATTCAACTAAATGTCCAGCATCACTTGGACATTACTCTTTTCACTGGTCATTATTAAGTCCTATAGGGAATAAAAAAGTTTGAGTCCTACATTGGGAAATGACTTATGTTTTAGTCCTATTCATTGCAAATTTCACATATATAAAGTATCATTACAAATATATTATTTTATAATAAAAATTGCATAAATAAATTGAGGTGCAACGTAACCACAATAACTTTATAAAATTTAACATTTTGATATTTATGCTAACTTTATATTATAGTTATTTTTTTTGCAAAAGTAGTTTTTTTGTGTGAAAAATAACAATGTTTTTTTTAAATCATAAAGACATTCATTAAGATAACATGATGATGATGATGATGATGATGATGATGATGATGATGATGATAATAATAATAATAATAATGTATAATAATAATGTATAACAGCAAGAGTTAGAATGAGAATAATATAAAAATACACTAAAATAAATGTTTTTAAATTATTTTTAGGTTTTCCAATTTTTTGAAGTTTTACTAGTTTTTCTATTTCTTTCCAGTTCCTTCCAGTTTTTTCCAGCTCCTTCCAGTTTCTTTCAGTTCCTTCCAGTTTCTTCCAACATCTCGCTTTTTTTTTCCAGTCCTAAAGTTCATGCTCTAAGCTAATGTCGTCAAAGAGTTGGATGGATATTCAAATGCATAAGGCTTATTAAGCTTAGTAAGGCTAGAAAATTAGAATCTCCTGAGAAGTAAATAAATTATTAAGCTTTGTAATTTATATAATTTAAAAAAATATGAACTTATTCCTTTGATATTTTACGTAGGCTATATTGCTATGATGAATGTGTAGACATAGTAGGATGCATAAAATTAGAAGCATGATCATTCAAAAGATGGTATAAGTAGCATGTATTAAAAAATATAATGAGAGAATCAATTGCGCTGGTATGGACACATGCCGAGAAGACCTAGTGATGCACCCCATAGAAGACTTGATGGGTGGATAAATGTTTTTTTGCAAAAAAGGAACACGGAGAGTCGGAGAGCGAAAACAATTTGGGGGGGGGGTGGTTATTAAGAGTGATTTGTCTTATCTAAATTTGAATGAGTATGGCTATAGATAGAAAGAGATGGAAAAAGAGCATTTTTGCCAATGACCGAAGTCACCGAACTTGATTTTCCTCTTGGTTCATGTTGCCAGCCCCTAGTTACTTGGGATAGGGCTTTGTTGTTGTTGTTTACGAAATAGAACGAATAGTTTATTTAGAGAATGAAGTTGTAAGCTCCAAATAAACTCCACCAAAGGTTACCTAGGGAACTAACTCTTGATGGAAATAGTTTCAGATAACCTCATTACAAGTTGCAAATTCAATTATTTTTTATATTGTTTTTCTCATAGATAGCTGATATGGTTGCTGTGGCGCATATGATGAATGCAACTATGGTGATCCCACAGTTGGATAAGCGTTCGTTCTGGCAGGATTCGAGGTTACTGACACTTTCTTGTCCCACTATATTCGTTTACTCGTCTTCTTTTTACCACATACCTTCAATTTCTACATTATGTGCTGCCTCTCTCTTCTCTCTCTCCCTTCTTTTTGTAAGAAATACTATCCCAAAAAAGAATTGTGCTTGAAATCTTATTATTGCCACCATAAAGTTTTCCATTTGAACAAATGAAACTACTACTCACTATATTTAATGTTTTTTCTTATAAAAAGTGTCTCAACTAATTTCAGTCTGTTTTATTTAGTTAAGCCAACAAATAATTTGAAAAATATAGCTATAATTGTCCATTTTAATTAGTTGTGCCTTATTAAATATAAAAGTTGTAGCATGGGACTTGGGAGAAGATGACTATTTTTATGGGACGGAGCTAATTGCATTTGCAGCATAGGTTTTTTTTGGTTGTGGAAAACAGTTATGTTCTAATAGGCTAAAATACAGTATTTTCTCAGATATATTTGATGAAAACCATTTCATCGAAATGTTACAAGGAGATGTCAGAATTATTAGGACGCTTCCAAGAGAATTAGAATCTGTGCATAGAGCAAGGAAGCACTTCACATCCTGGTCCAGCAAGGGCTATTATACTGAGATGAAGCAATTATGGAAGGAAAATCAGGCATGTTATTTCATTCAGTATTTTTGTGACTAGGATATATGAATGAAATACTAAAACATGGAGATTGTTTGCTATTGAAATGATTATAATTAAGTGATTTAAACCATGTAAAATAGTTACATGATGTCCGAAATTAAGTCATTTCAAATAATTATATGAATCTCTTAAAAGCATATTTAGATGTTTGTAACTAAGCTTTTCTTAGAAAATGTTGAGAATGTGAGGGATATGAACTTTTGTTGCATCAATATTTCATTTTTAGTCAATGAATCTTTTTTGCCAGGTCATTCATGTTGCTAAATCCGATTCTCGACTTGCAAACAATGATCTGCCTCTTGACATTCAAAGACTAAGATGTCGTGCTTTATACCATGCTCTCCACTTTTCTCCTCCCATTGAGAGCCTTGGAAAGGTTAGAGAAGCTCTCTCGGGAAATCTTCTTAATAAGAATAAGTTGTTTTTCTTGTCACTGATACCGCTACAACATTCATTGTAGAGTTGTAGTTTCTGCATTTCTGAATTGTTTATCATTGTAGTGTTGAAGGCAATGACACTTTGTTTTTATAGTAAAGGGAAATTGTTTGGTTGTCTCTTTGAAACATCATATAACAAAGTTCCATTTCTTGCATTTCTATTTTTTTAATAATCATTAATGGAATACGATTTCATAGAGATGTGGTGAAGTAAAAACTTGCTAGGAGTGCATTTAGGAAAGAGCGTAGAACAAAATTACTTATTTGGCAAAACTCATTTTTTATCATCAATAATGAAATAAGATTCTGTAAAGATGTAATGAAACAAGTACATGATAGTGAATACCACAGAAGCTTGTGGAACGGTTGAGGTTACGAGCTTCAAGGTACATTGCACTTCATTTGCGGTACGAAAAGGACATGCTGTCTTTTACAGGCTGTACTTACGGCCTTGCTGATAAAGAAGCTGAAGAACTTAGAGTAATGAGGTATTCTCTATCCCTCTTCACACAGACACTCACACACAATTTTCGATCTTTTAAATTAATTTGTACTCTTCATTTATTTGGGAATTGTTATATTAGAAGCTCAAAACATGTGTTGGATTTTACTTCCTTTTATTCTTCACTTGTTTTCAAGTGGCAGGGAAAACAAAAAAAATGTTATAGTGTTGTGTATAATTTTTTATGAAGAGAAAAATGGTTTGGTATAAACCGTATAATTTATATTTTATTGTGAACTCCCTCTGTACCAACATAAACTTTCCACTTTCTTTCTCTGTTATCCCAAAATAAACTTCTTATTCCTTTTACAATAAACATTCAATGGCTCACATCATTTCGCTCTCCTCTGAATAAATATTAACCACATAGTTTCACTTTGTATTAAATTTTGTTAAAAAGCAAACAAAAAATTGTTGTTATAAATATCTATCAAATAAAAATATTCAGTCAAAGCCAACCACACAAAATCACTTTTTATTAAATTCTTAAGATTGATTTTTTGTAGTACACGGAAGGATCAATTTTAATGTAGACAGTTCCTATTAAAAATATCTATCAAATAAAAAACATTTAGTCAAAGCCAACAACAACAAACCCACTATTATCCCAACTCCGTTGGGGTTTAGGGGGATTAGATGTACGCATCTTGACTCGTGTAAATAACAAAAAGTCAGAAGCAAAGGAAATTTAATGCATTATTTTGATTTAGCCCATCATTTACCCAAACCTAAAGCATTGTCAAAAAATGACTCCTTTAGTCAAAACTTGTTTATTTAAAAGTAAAATACTTTTCTTTAATAATATATTTTATCCTTCCATGATCATAGAACATATCGAATATAATGAATGTACCACAACAAATCCTAGTATTATACCTACTCTTTTGGGTTCTTGGAGTTCAAGATGTATGCGACCTTATCCCTGTTGGATAGTTTCTATTAGACCCTTTGATGCATGGCTGCATTCACTGCCCAAGATTATATCAGAAGGAGCAAGGGAAGATTAATGTGACATTTTCATTTAGTCTATTATTTACTCAAAACTAAAACATTGTCAATATTGATTCTTTTAGCTCCCATTGACAATGATTTTTTATAGAACATAATGAATGTGCATAATCTTTTTTATTGAGGCACATATATAATTACCCTTGAATAATGGAATAAAACTATTAGTTTCATATGATATACTCCGTATAAAAGAATTGAAGACTTTAATCTATAGAGTGGAAACATTGGAGCATGCCCACTTCGTCAAGGAGATCCTTATGAAAGCTAATCAAGCGTGTTTTCCCAATTCACGGTGTCATAACAGAAACTCCTGATATAACGATCAGCTTTGGTTGTATTGAATTCACACATTGACAGGTGCTCCATATAATTTGTAATTTGTATGATCTATTAGATGAAAACAGGATATATCCACATGATTTTAAAAAATACTCCTGAATATGCAAGCAGCAGGAAGTCACGGACCTCAATCTTTAATACATAACCAAATAAACATGCCAAGCGGCCCAAGCTTTTCAAACTAGAATTGCATTTGACAATATCTTTATGAATCAAGAAGGATGAGTAAAATAACTGAAAAGGTGATAATTAAATCAAAGCCTTTAGAGAAGCAAAGTAAATTCACAAGACAGAGTAGATTACCCAAAATTCAAAACATAATGGGATCTTAATATCTCCATTTATATAATAATAGTGGTTGTTGATATTTATACACCTAATTAAATCAAACTAAAATGTCCATTACCAATGTTTCTGATTCTTTGTCTTAGAGGCTGTCTACATTGTGATCCTGAGACCCCAACGAAGTTGGAATTATACTAGGCTGCTATTGTTGTGAATCCAACTAAAACTTTATTTTTCTAAACATATACACCTTCAGTCCCATAAAGAGATTCCACAATTTTTTTGTTATAATTTTAGGATGGGGTATGAATCATTGGTTTGGGCAATAAGACACATGGACACATTATATACCGATTATTTTCTCTTCACTTTTTCGATGGGGGATACTCTCTAATACTCCCCCTCAAGTGGATAACCAAGCCATTTGAATTTAACCGGTTGACCACTGGAAAATGGACTCCCATCCCCTTGATTTTAGTTTTTGAGTGCCAACATGTTGGTGATGTGTTGTCATCGTCCCAAAGTGGTCCACTTGTAGACAACTGAGAATTAGGAGACTAGATTAGGGTTTGGCCGGCCCAAATGGTTTTAAGCCCAATTTGCTATAACTTGTAACCCTAATTAGTTGTCTATATATATGATCTCCTGTAGTTGTAATCATTATCACTCAATAATACGAACCCTAGTTGCCCGCGTGATGTAGGTCAGATTAGACCAAACCACGTTATATCTCTTGTGTTCTTTATTGCTTTCTTGCTTTGTATTCGTGTGTGTGCCTTTGTTCCTAACAACTGGTATCAGAGCCTAGGTCGTGCACACAGATCAGCCTCCACTGCCAACCCTAGCGACTCTAAGGTTTCTGCCGACACATCAAAAGACCACCAAGACAGTCATCTGTTCAGAGTCCGAACAGCCTTGCTGTTCAGTTTGCTGCTGCAATTTTCGAGGTTACTTCTGGTTTGTTTCAATCTGTTCTCACGTGTTCAGATTTCGGGTACTCAGAAGAGATGATGTCTGAGGACGGAAAGATCAGGATAGAGAAGTTTGATGGGCACGATTTTGGATGTTGGAAGATGCAAGTCGAGGACTTTCTATGTCAGAAAGATCTTCTTCCATGTTTGACAGGTCAGAATCCCGAGAAGATGAAAGATGAAGAACGGGCTGACTTGGATAGAAAAGCCCTAGCCGTCATTAGGTGCACTTTGACAAAGAGTGTGGCTTTCAACATCGTGAAAGAGACTACTGCTCGTGTGGTTATGACAACGTTGTCAAACATGTATGAGAAACCTTCCGTGTCTTATAAGGTATTCTTGATTAGACAGACACTCGTATGCGGGAAGGTGGTTCTTTTACTACTCATATCAATGTTTTCAATACCATTATATCCCGTTTGCTATCAGTTGATATCAAATTTGATGATGAGGTACAAGCTTTGCTTTTTTTATCTTCGTTACCGGATAGTTGGTCAGGATTCCGGCTATTAGTGGTTCAGGTGGAAACACCACACTCACGTTTGAGGGAATCCGTGATTTTATCTTAGGAGAAGACATCAGGAGAAAGAATACAGGTGAATCATCCAATTCTTTGCTGAGCACTGAGGGAAGAGGTAGAAAGAAATAGGAGAAACAGTTACAGGGGAAGATCTAAGTCCAAAGGCAGGAGAGTGAGTTCAATGACAAGAAGCCACATTAAGTGTTGGAACTGTGATGAGTACACACTTCAGAAGTCTGCACCAAACCACCTAGAGACAAGAAAGCGGTGAATGCTGCCACAACCTTAGATTCTGATGATGTCTTAATCTGCTGTGTAGAGGACACAGTCGAGTCCTGGATTATGAACTCAGGTGCGTCGTTTCATGCTATCTCTAGTTCGAGAAAGATGAAGAATCTCAAAAAAGGCAACTTTGGTACTGCAAGTCTTGCTAATAATCAACCGTTGGCTGGGGGGTGGGAGACATTGACTTGAAAACCAACTTGGGAATAATTTGGACATTGAAAGATGTCAGGTTAATTCCCAAATGGAGAAAGATGTTGATTTCCATTGGGCAATTGGACGACCAGGGGTATAATGTTCACTTCGGGGGTGGACAATGAAAGGTTGTCAAGGGAAGTATGGTTATTGCTAAGGGAAAGAAACAGGGTACTTTGTACATGGCTGAGAAGGAGATGCAAACGCGCAGTAACCAGCAGGCTAAGTCTATCCAAGTTGTGGCATCAACGACTCGGCCATATGAATGAAAATGGGATGAAAATGTTTGTCGCCAAAGAAAGTTGAATCTGAATTATGTGAACATTTATGGAAAGAAAAAGACAGTATCTTTTGCGAAGACGGGGAGAGTACCTAAAGCTCAGAAGTTACAGCTTATTCATTCAGATGTTTTTGGTCCAACTCAAGATTCTATGTGACCTTCATAGACGATGCCTCGCGCAAGGTATGTGTTTATTTTCTTAAAAGTAAATTCGAATTTTTTGATGTTTTTAGAAATGGAAAACCGCCGTTGAACTTGAAACTGGTTTGAAGGTGAAATGCTTGAAATTAGACAACAGAGGGGACAGAGTTCATGAACTATTGTGCTAAACGCGGCATGCAGATGATAAAGACTGTTCCACGCACTCCTCAACAAAATGGAGTCGTAGAAAGGATGAATAGAACTCTAAAAAAGAGAGCCAAAAGTATGAGAAAAAATGCAGGGCTTCCGAAGATGTTTTGGGCGGACGCAATTAATACTACTACTTACCTAATCAATCGATTGCTTTCAACTCCGTTGGGTTTCAAAGTACCTCAAGAAGAATGGAAGGGTAAAGCTATTGATTATAAGCACCTAAAGGTTTGTCGGGTGCAGTGCTTATGATTTGGGTCAAGATGGTGATAAGCTAGATGGAAAGGCCAAGAAGTACACCCTTATTGGCTATGGGTTAGACAAGATGGGCTACGGGCTTTGGAACTTTGAAAGCAAAAAGCTAGTCAGAAGTAAACATGCAACGTTCAATGAGGCTGAATTGTACAAAGACAGAAAGGAATCAAACTCTAAGGTTCAAAAACAACAGCTTGAGTTTGAGACAGGAGCAGAAAACCAGGGAGCTAAGCTGGTTCCTGAACCAGTTTTCAATAAGAAACTCAAAACAATTTTCGACATGGTTCCAGAGTTTGAAGTCGGTGAAAATAATGAGACAGTGGGAGTTCAGAGTCTGAAGATGAACAATCCCCACAACAATCTGACCAAAATTGATCAGTGGGTCAGGAGGTCCACCAGAGTTACAAAGAAGCCAGATAGGTATAGTCCTTCAGTTAATTTTATTCTCTTGACAGAAAATGATGAGCCAGAAAGCTACTCCGAGGCATTCAAGATGAAAGATTCTCTTTAGTGGGAGCATGCAATGAAGGACGATATGAGCTCTCTAAAAAAGAACAAAACTTGGGTTTTGGCTAAGCTCCCGCGACGTAAGAGAGCATTATATAATAAATGGGTCTTCAGGATCAAAGAAGAGCATGATGGGTCTTAACGGTATAAATCCCATTTAGTGGTCAAGGGGTTTCAGCATGAAAGGGGGGTTGATTATGATGAGATTTTCTCTCCAGTGGTCAAAATGACAACCATCAGGTTAGTTTTGAGTATTGTAGCAGCAGAGAATTTACATCTAGAGGAACTAGACGTGAAAACAATTTTTCTACATGGTGATCTAGATGAAGAGATTTACATGGAACAACCTGGAGGGTTTCAGGTTGTCGGCAAAGAAAATTGGGTCTGCAGACTGAAAAGGAGCTTATATGGTCTTAAACAGACACCTAGACAATGGTACCTGAAGTTTGATGACTTCATGGAGAGATCGGGGTTTAAAAGATGTGAGATGGATCATTGTTGCTATTTGAAGAAATTCAGGAACTCCGATATCATCTTATTGCTATATGTTGATGATATGTTGATTGCAGGATCTGATATGGAAGAAATAAGCAAATTGAAAAAAGATGTCTCAAGAATTTGAGATGAAAGACTTGGGTCGAACCAATCAGATTCGGGGGATGAGTAGAAACAAGGATGGTTCACTAACACTGTCCGAGGAGAAATACATAGGGAAGGTGTTAGAGAGTTTCAAGATGAATGATTGGAAGACAAGGCCTAGAAGTACCCCACAGGGAAGTCATTTGAAGCTGACCAAAGAACAATCACCTAAATCCGAAGAAGAAAGATCAGAAATGGCTAAAGTTCCTTATGCATCAGCGGTTGGGAGCCTCATGTATGCCATGGTTTGCACTCGGCCAGATATTGTTCATGCCGTTGGCGTTGTTAGTCGATTTATGCCAGATCTGGGTAGAGAACATTGGGAAGCTGTCAAATGGATACTTAGATATTTGAAGGGAACCCAGAAAATGGGTTTGGGTTTATGTTTCAGAGGGAAGGATGCTATTCTCAGAGGTTTTACAGATGTCGATTTGGGTGGTTGTAGAGAGACATTTAAGAGCACTGCAGATATGTCTTTACAGCGGGAGGAACAACAGTGAGCTGGATGTCTAGACTTCAGAAAAGTGTGGCGTGATCTATGACAGAGGCTGAGTATATGGCTTGTTGCAGAGGCCTGTAAAGAACTAGTCTGGTTGAAGACTTCTCTTAGAGAGTTGGGCAAATAGCAGTCTAATTACTTATTGTACTGTGACAATGAGAGTGCGGTGAAACTTGCTAAAAATCTAGTTTATCATGGCAAGACGAAGCATATCGAGATGAGGTATCACTTCGTGAGAGGATTGATCAGTAATGGAACAATCAACTTGAAGAACGTCTCAGGTGCTAAGAATCCGACAGATATGTTCACCAAGTCAGTGGTGCTGGATAAGCTGAAGCTTTGCATAACTTTAGCTGGTCTGCTGGAATAGTGTTGAGGAGAGGGGCAACTAGGGAGATGTGAAGATCAAGGAGGATTTTTCATTTACAGAAGTACAAAGAGGAGCCGCACTTTTGTCCAAAGACTTCAAGTGGGAGATTGTTGGTGATGTGTAGTCATCAGCCCAAAGTGGCCCACTTGTAGACAACTGAGAATTAGGAAACCAGATTAGGGTTCAGCCGGCCCAAATGTTTTTAAGCCCAGTTTGCTATAACTTGTTCAGAAAGGGTTAAACCCTAATTAGTTGTCTATATATATGATCTCTTGTACTTATAATCATTATCACTCAATAATACAAATCCTAGTTGGTCCCGTGGATGTAGGTCAGATTAGACCAACCACATTAAATCTCTTGTGTTCTTTATTGCTTTCTTGCTTTCTATTCGTGTGTGTGCCTTTGTTCCTAACACAACACCTAAAGGAACACAACCCGCTGAGTATGGACTTTGAGGCGAGCAATCGGTTGAAACAAGCCACAGGCCGTTGAATATACATTCTACACGGACATCTGGGCTAAAGACTAGTGCCGCTAGAAATGAACGTCGAGACGGACACCTTGAAAGACGAGGTGGGCTAAAACTAGCTCCGATACCATGATATAATTTTAGGATGGGGTATGAATCATTGGATTGGGCAATAAGACACTTGGGCTGAACCACATTAAAAGATTAAATTCAATTGATTACTTAGTCCAACTCAAGAGCTTATATACTGATTATTTTCTCCTCACTTTTTCGATGTGGGATACTCTCTAACATTTTTGTGTTTTGCCCCAAAAAAGCTTCATTCCTTTTAAGGAAGCAATTGTGTAGTTCACACAATTTCTCTCCACTGCACAAAATTCAACCATGCACATTCACCTTTATTAATAAAAGTGTCCACTCAATTGTAGAACAAGTACATTACAACATCAAACATGGTAATAGTGTATTGCTGTTTCCAATGAAATAATACTTGGTAACAGTATGACCCTTACCAAATGAAATAAAACTTTAACTTAATAAGAGTGTACGGAGCATTATTGTTTCCTTATGAAATAAAACTTGGTGAATAGTGTACCATTTCCTAATAAAATAAGATCATAAAATACAACACCTGCTTTTTGACACTGAGTATTATTATGTCCGTCGTATATTGAATCTAAAATTACACACGAATCTAGTGAACTGTAATTAGTAATGTAATAAATCATTGCATTATATTAAATTCTCCCTCTTGGTAATATATTATTTTTTGGTCAGTGTAATGATTTAAAGCTCTAATTGCTTAGAAGGCATGCTTATGCAATCCTTACGCTGCTCTCATAAAGTTCACCTGTTATATTATATATATATATATATATTTATTTATTTATTTATTTATTTTTATACTCCCTCTTCCCGCAATCAAGTTTAAACTTTCTTTTTTCGTCAAAATAAACGTGACATTTCTCCCATTTTCTTTTTAGGAATGGAATATGTGGCTTGTAGCATTTCTTTCTTCTAATTTTTGTATAAAATTCAACCTCACTTTCCGCTTTTCTTGAACTATGTGAAGTCAAAGTGTAAACTTCAGTGTGTGTGTGTGTGTGTCTGGTTTTGTTTTTTCATGAGGCGGTTGATCATGGATTATCAGTAAGCCAAAAGTTCAATTGATTCTTCCTTCATTTTGTGTAAGACATCCAATGTCTACCTGGATGTGTTCATTTTTTATTGAATCATAGCAGTTAGTAAAATTTAGCTAAGTCAGTATCGTGGTTCAGGTAGCAAATCTGTTTTTTTGGATCTTCAATGACAATCTCGTTAATGTCCTTGATGGAATATTATTCTAAACTAAATTTGTTGCTAAGGGAGAATACAAATCATTGGAAGATCAAGAATATCAATTCCAGTGAGCAGAGAATTGGCGGTTTATGTCCTCTTACGCCCAAGGAGGTTGGGATATTTCTTCAAGCTCTTGGTTATCCTATGTCAACATTGATTTATATCGCTGCTGGAGAAATCTATGGTGGTAACACACACCTTTTAGAGCTAACATCCCGCTTTCCAAATGTAGTTTCAAAGGTAAAGTATACTTTAGTGCTGGATTTGATTCTGTAATCAGTAATAATAAATTCACAATATTTCACACCTTTGACATGTTATCTTTTAATTGATAGGAAATGCTTGCAACCACAGAGGAACTGAGACAATTTTCCAAACACGCATCTCAAAGTGCAGCAATTGACTATATTATCTCTATTGAGAGTGATGTTTTCATTCCATCACATTCTGGTAATATGGCAAGAGCAGTGGAGGGGCATCGCAGATTCCTAGGCCACCGCAAGACAATCACTCCTGATAGGTAGGTGCTCTAAAATATAATTCAAAAAATTTGAGTTTATAGCAATTTTGTCTTTAGTAATAAGAATTAAGTTATAAAACGACATTTTAAACTTTTACTCAAATATTATAGTTTAAGCTGTGAAATTATGCCGTATTTCATAATTTTGCTAAAACTTGCTCCCTATATCCCAAATTTATCTTTACCATTGCTTCTGGGACGGTGTATAAGAAAATGAAATTGAATGCTTGAGTTTCATTTAAAAAGCAGAAACAAGATGAGCTTACACTTATTTCTCAATAGGGAAACATGAACATATTTTTGAGATAGATGAAAAAGTAAAGTGTAAAGCCAATTTTTGGATAAAGGGTCTCATACATGCATTCATTCTAGTCAGATGCCAACATGTACTAGCATAATATTATTACTCTACCTGGCATATTTTTTGTGTTGTGCTTGTGCACAAGTAAAAATGCAAGTTTACAATTTGAGTTTTCGTAACATTTTATCTTTTACGCAAAAGTTCAACCGAGTTTATTTAATGAAAATAAATTAAAAAGGAGAGTTGGTTTTTCAAGGCTTCAATATCAGAAAACCCTTGTGTGTTATAGAGAATTAGCCAATAAACATTGTTTTTGAAAACTAGCAAAATAGATCAAAATACCCTCCCTTAAATGACATGGTTTGTAACCCCCATATTTGTAGGTTTTTTTAGCAAATTAGCTAAAGAGAAGATCCTTCCCCCATAGTTTAATTCATAGATACAGTATATCCCAGTAATTTGATGCACGACTAATTAATGAGTTCACTTTATTAGTAGAACTAGTCGATTCCCAATCTAGCGAATGTTCTAAATGAATATATTTCTTCATTATTTAAGTTAATAGACATTCAAAAGACACACACACACACACATATAATATACATACATACATAGATACATACATACATACATACACACACACACACACACACACATATATATTTTAAGGGCTATTAAAAAAAATCTGAAAACTTCAAAAAAAACATGGTGGCAATTTGGTAAATAAACTGAACTTTTCAAAAAATGCACTACTACAAGTGTAAAATGCATCACGACAGTCTGAAAATGCACTATTCTTATATTCTTATAGTAAAGATATTCTTACCTGAACCAACCCTTATATACTTATATATATATATATATATATATATATATGTATGTATGTATGTATGTATGTATGTATTTTTGTATGTATGTGTGTGTGTATATGTGTGTGTGTGTGTGTGTATGCTCCCTCCGTTCCAGTGCATTTGTCTAGTTTGATTTTTTCGAGTCAAACAAGATAAACTTTGAGCTTCAATTAAACAAAAATAGAAATATATATTAGTCCAAAAATACATTTATTAGATATATCTAACTGAGATCTTTCAAAAATTTATTTTATTGTACTAATATACAATTCAAATTGAGAGTAATTGAAGCTCAAAATTTGTCTAGTTTGACTCAAAAAAGTCAAACTGGACAAATATATTGGGACGGAGGTAGTATATTGTTATTTTATATTGCGACAAGTTCTTTAGTTTATCTGTGGGTTTTAGTGCTTCTTCGTATAACATCAAGTACATTGTATATTACGGATGCACAAAGTGAATATGACAATGACTTTTCAAATATGTTAATATATTGTATGGTTTGAGCTAAAAATCATATGCGTCAATAATTAACAAATTATTAGTTTATCGATTAATAAGTAACACGCTAAATTAATAGAGTTTTCTAGTCGCAAGACTATTATTTCAAAGGGGTTGCACTGCCTATATTTGTAAATGAAAAAGAACGGATGATCATTGTGGATGTAAGAGAACGATAGATCTGAGTATACCCAACCCTAGATTTCATTTATCAGATTTCACTCCATATCTTTTGTTCCAGGCATAACTATAGTATTTGCAAACTTTTACCAGATTAATTACTTCCTCATTATAAATACAATTAAAATTATAATTAGAATTAGACAATGAATGCTCCTATGATCCTTTGTGCCCTTGCTTGTATCACTATTGCTTCTTTGTGCCAAAAAGAATTTACCATGTGAAAATGACTAATGGTCTAGCTTCCAAGAATAGGTTGAACTGCATGAAAAGTATGTTGAAATTAAGTGATAGGATGAATATAGAATAGAGCGAGTATTAGTTTGTGGGGATATGGGAATGGTGACCAATAGACCGACCACCAACTGATTTTTTTTTTTAATTCAATGGCGTTTTGGATGGTTTGCTTTAAGGCTTTAGTATGAAAGTTCCCATTTCAATGCCTAAAATGACTCTATTATCCTCTTGTTGGAAGACACACATGAGCACCTTACCCATGGTACTGCAGATTATTTTTATTGAGTACTTATTTGCTAATGATAAGAGCAGGAAAGGCCTTGTGGAAATATTTGATCAGCTGGAAGCTGGACGTCTTAAAGAAGGGCCATTTTTATCACATCTTGTGATCACATTGCACAAGAACAGGTGACGTTGCTCTTTTGTTTAATTGTCTCCTACAGTTAATTCTTAGGGTCCGTTTGGTATACGGAATTGACGGAATTGGAATTGAAATTCCATCATATTCAATTCCATAGAATTGAATTTTGCCAATTCCAATTCACTTTTTGCACTAATAATTCCAAATCCACATAATTTTTGTGCTACCAAACAGCAGAATTGGAATTGAAGTCCTCAATTTCAATTCCATAATTTGAATTCCGTGTACCAAACGGGACCTTAGATTTCCAAGACCCGAGATTCGACAGTGAATTGTGTGTTGCTGCTGCATGCAGACAAGGTGCTCCTAGAAAGAGAAAAGGTGCCCCCGAAGGTATCAAAGGTCGGGCACGCTTCAGGTTCGAAGAACCTTTTTACCAGAACCCATACCCTGAATGCATATGTGCTCCCAAGATGACTCCAAGCTGAGGGAGGGAGGCCATGGATTCTCCCACTCTCTCTTCAACTTACCAGAAATAAATAATTCATTGTTTCTTATATTAAAAAAAACCAAGAAACACAAAACCATCTTAATGTTGCTTCTTTGTATATCTCAGTTTCTGAATATTCTTCTCCCTTTACTAAATTGTTACTTGCTTTTTGTTTTTGCACAATATAAGCGATAATATTTGCGCTAGAAAGAAAGTGAATTATTCTTTTGCCTTGAGTTCGTCATTAAAGAAGTATTTCACGAATGAGCTTCAAAGAAATGCATTTGTCAACAATTGAGTTGAAAACAGTGAAATCGCTTATTGAAAACACCCTGTTTAGTTGAATTATGATTATTGAAATGACTTTATTTGTCTAAGTTTACATTACAACAACCCAGTTAAATCCCACAAGAGTAGGGTCTGGGGAGGGTGTGTGTACGTAGACTTTATCCCTACTTGAAAGTAAAGAGGCAGGGTGTGTGTACGTAGACCTTACCCCTACTCGAAAGTAGAGAGGTTGTTTCCAAAGAGACCCCCGGCTCAACGTCGAAAGTTGCATTGCTTGACTAACTGCTACTTCATTAATTAAAGAAGCGCAGACAGTTTAGAGATCCATTTTGATTTATTCCATCACACCCAAAGCCAAAAAATGGTGAAATTTTGGCTCCATCGGAGATGATGGAAAATTGTCTAAGTTTACATTATTTAATAAAAAGGAATATGAAAAATTGCTGCAAGGTACTTCCTATTTTGGGATAAGAACTCGGAGATCTTATTATTTTTCAAAATATACTTCATGGTACTTTAAAACATACTCCATCCGTCCTATAAAACCCTTCTCCTTTCCTTATTTTATTTGTCCCAAAAAAATCATTCTCTTTTTTATTAAAAAGTCACTTTTACCCATATTAATTTTTAACCTACTTGTACATTACATTTTTTTTCTATTAATTTATCTATCACATCTTATTTTATCCATCACATCAAAGGGCATTTTTGGAAAATTATTATCAAAATATACTCCCTTAAATTTTTTAAAAGTCAAAATAAAAAGTTTTTTACGGGATAGAGGGAGTATGAAAAATTACTCTAGAGTGACAATCTGTTCCTCTCTCCGTCAAACTCAATTCTCCGTTATCTTCTTTTTCATCATCACCATCTTTCAATCTTCTTTTTTCTTCTTTTCCTTCCCATCTGATACAGCTCCCTCCTCCCCTTTTTTTTCTTCTTCTATTCCTTCTTTTCTTCTATTATTATTATTCTATTACTGTGATTATCATTATCATTATTATTTATTAGTTTTATCATTGAAAAATTTAATTAGTAGTTTTACTGTTTTACTATATATTTTTTAGCAACCGTAAAAATTTTTTTTGTATGTCCCCATTAACCTTTTCCAATCTTTACTTTCGTAAAAATAGGTTAAAACATTATAAAGCTTTAATTGAAAATTAATTTTAGTAATTTATTTATGTATAGTTAAGAAAATTAATATTATTTACTCACTTCGTTATAAATTATACATCATAATTCATAACAATAATATGAAATTTAACACTACTTTTGTCGTTTCGTATTATCTTTAAAAAAATCCAGAGGCACTTGCCCGTCTTACTCCTGCCCCAAGTCCTCTCATTTTCTGGATTCACCACTACCAATAGCAGATGCAGATGACTACTGTGTGACTAATGTGAAAGACAACGAAAGAGTAGTAAAAACTACTAATTATTGATACGTGCTATTTTTGTAAATAATAATTAGTGTTATTTTTCTTCAAAAAATAGAGTAAAAAAACCACAAATAAATTTTCAATAATAATAATAAATATAGAATAATAATAAATAGTAATAATAATAATAGAAGAAGAAAATAATAAGAAATAAATAATAATTATACGAAGTAATAATAGTAAGTAGAGTTACTAAATTTCTAACTTCAATTTTTAGTTTCCAGACTAGTTAAACTTAACAATAATACTCCGAATTCAGGTAGTTTAAGTTTAATAAATTCAAGATTTCAATTTCTTGATTCCACGTTCCCGTCTCCGGATCTTACATTTCAATCAAAGCAAGCCTTGTTTGATCCAAAAATGTTCATTTTACAGAATAAAAAACCACACTCTCAAACCCGTCATCCGTACGTACTTTAGCTTGCATCGAAAAATTTCTTCTTCTTCTTCTTCTTCTTGGTATCCAACCTCAAATTTGTAGACGATGAAACGCCATTTCGTTTCCAGGCAATGGAAAATCATGTTTCCCCTTCATCGTGAGCAACTACGTTACGAAACAAATAACAAATTCACGCACGATACTTTGTCTCTGTAAACTATACATTACTGTGCAAAATTGCCGCTACCTTGTAATTGTAGAATTGCTCCTCGCCCTGCACATTATTAAACCATCTCTATAAGTAATACGGAGTAATGTTTATAAAGTGCTGAATTGTGTTTTTCACATCAAATGCAATGAACATTTTCTCTAGGCGAATAAAAAATTCTATAACCAACACAACACACTTCTTTTTATCAAGGAATCACAAATGAAATTACAAAGACCAAAAACTTTCAGCACATTGATGAAAACACAACAAAAACATGCAGCTTTACGAGCAGGCAGGCAGCAAAAGTATACTCCCTTCATCCTACAACTTTATTCCCGTTTTGATTTGGTACACTTTATTAATAAGAAAATGAAATTGCAATTGCATCGTTGAGTTTAGGGGAGTATATTACTCCATAATTTTTTCCCTTGTTTCCTACCATGTAAAACATTAGAATGGACTAAAAGTCTGCCAAAATACTCCAGAAAGAATCAACTTCTTCCCATTCTGGTTAAGTCGTTCACTTCCTAAAAAATATCATTTTCAAGAAATGAGTTTAAAATGTGAAATAAGTCTTTCAATTGTGTTTGTCACTCATTCATCACAATTTCTTCATTGAATATAGAAAGTGGACACACAAATTCCAAATAATTGAAAATAAGAAAGTGGACAGCTAATAATAGCAACACCTGCGTGAGATTGTCTCACAGAGCTTGCTCCCATGGGTCTGTTCAACTTGCAACTAAAGCTCTTGGGCTAAACAACTATCATGTTTCATAACATTATTTTTTCACATGTGGTAGTGTTAAATTGTAAAGTCACACATCTTTTTTTTTGTCAAATTAAATAGACAAAAAAAGAATGGATGTTGAATTATAGAAGGGATGTAGACTAGCTATACATCCTCTCCATATAAGACATACACCAAGTTCAGGTTTATTGTTTCTACATTTCCATTGAATGCCAAATACACAAGAGGATGAACCATCAAATGAACATGGTTGATAGATTTATATTGTAGAGTGTGCATTCTTGTTTCGCATATGATTCTGGGTATATAAGCACACTGCTCAATGGTGCCAGTAGCGGGAACACAGACGTACCCTACATGTTAATGAAAAGAAACTTACCTTTGAGAAAGTGTAGATGTGTATGTTGCATGAAGATAAGAAAGTAGTATCTCATTCCACACATCAGGCACTCCAGGTAGACACCAGTGGCTACAGTCAGATAGTGAGGGATTGTCGCTCCAAGTGCCCACATGGGCATCACTCCTAAATGCAGACATGGGAGTGATATGCAGGACAGTAACAGGGACGGTCATCCTTTTAACAACATCGAATATTGCATCTGAGAATGAATTGTTTCCTTCTCCTCTAGCCTCTGAAAGAGGTTGGTTTGGCACGTCACATTCATGCAGTGTTAGATTCCTGAAGCATGGGAAAAATTCTTTTCAAAATTATTCTTTGACACAATAAAGGTTCTTAAAGTATTAACATATACTCCCTACATCGGAATTTAGTTGTCGACTTTCTGGTTTTCATTTGTCCGAACTCCGGAGTTAGTTGTCTACTTTCCATATGGACATTGTTGAGATGAATGAGTGGCAAACTCATTTGAAGGACATATTTTACATTGATTTCCTAAAAACAAGATTTTTTTTGAAAATGTGGATAACTAAATCCTGATGGAGGGAGACAGGGAGTATATAAGAAAACTAAGTGTTATTCATTAGGGTACCTCCAATGAGATGGTTCATATGTTCTGAAAAATACGCTTGTTCTATTCGGGTTAATGGTGGTATCAACCCAGGACGCCCAAGTTTGTAGAGCGGTTCTGAAAGCCATCGGTATTGACATTCCAAGTTTGAGTGTATGACCAACTTGAAAATAGCACCCTCTGTTGAATGATACAATTCAGTATTTACACACAATTTTAAAAAATGTTTTTTTTCAGGCCAGACCCCAACGTAGTTGAGATTATACTGGGTTTGTTGTTGTTTTTGTTGTATAATAAGTAATTTTATTCTTTATATGCATTCAGCGTTTCTCATGCACTTGATGTATAACAATACATATACTTTGGTGACGTTATACGAAGAAAATTTGAAGGAATGATTTCTTGTTTGCAGATAAAAATTTCACTTATTTTTAAAGAAGTGCTGTCATATATCACATCGATGTAAAGGATCAATTTTCAAATCTTTGAAGCATTCTATGGTGCAAAAGAGATGATCAAAACTGAGATCCATGAAGGAATCAACATTTCAGTTATTCCAAATTTATGTCTTTACAAAGACCTTCAGGTCCAAGGAGGAAAAAACACTCGCAGAAACCAAACAATGCACAGTATAAACATTGGTGTGTGAGCCCATGAATATGCAATCTACTTAAAAAAAGAATATAATGAATGGCATAAAGTTAAACATGAAGGTGAAGAGAGAACACATACGTTCCAAAAAGCTTTCCCGGCACCCACCACTGTCCGGAATTGAAAACCAGTATGTCTGCATTACTCCACTCAGCGCTAATATCATCCAACCTGTCCAGTCGAAGTGTTGACCTAACTCTCTTGGGTGCACGTTTAGCCGACCAACTGTGTTGCACAAGATAAACTGATCTGTAAAACTCTACACTGAAATTAAAGGAACCAAACCTCACCCCTAAAAACCGGATTTGCTTCGTTATAGCATTCCCATTAACTTCAAAAACACTAGTCTTTTCCCTCACCCCCGTCATCAGCAAACATATCAAAGATTCCCATTGTGTTCTACCCATCGAGTCACCCACGAAAACAACCCTTTTGTTCCGGAGAATTTCCAAGGCACCGTCCACATTGAATCTCGGAATATCACATCTCTCGGGCTTCCATCTCAACTTCACGTAGTCTCTATCGGGTCGGCCATTTGCCAAACAGTTAAACCCTTGCTCCACAAAAGGGCATTCGGAGGCATTGTACAACGGGTAGCGGTTATCCACGACCCAATCTCCATCACCATATACATCACACTCGCTATCAACACCATTGAAGGCTGGAACACCGGCTACGTGAAGTGCTTGGGTATGGCCCGGGTGGACATACAGATAGCCCCCGCCAATCGCCAAAAGAAATGATACCACAGATCCAATCACAACGAGTATTCTAAACAATTTCGAAACCCAGCTCTTCCTGCTAACTCTAGGGCTTCCAGGAATCACTGACCTCGCTCTAAATGAAACACTTCTACCCAAACCACTAAGCTTTTCCGAACCCATAAATTGATGGGTGGAAGGAATAAAACGGCTAATACTTACACCATAATAATAATAATTATAATCTAGGAAAAAATTGAAAATTTTTCAAACCCAGACACCAGATAATGGGCGGTAGGAAACAAAGAACATAAACGAGGTAATCATCATATGAAATCCGCAACTTAACTTAACTAATACTCCAATGAGACGAGACCCTAAATCTGTGAATGGAGAATGTGGAAGGCGGTTGGTCGGGGGGTGAATGGGTGAAGCAATTTTTTGAATTATAAACGAGAATTTAAAAGCAATCTGTTGCAAGGGTCCTACCCCTGCTTGGAATTCACCCAGAACAGAGTGGCCTGAGATTGGAGCTGCTGGGCTGTTAAGGTTTATCTAACTCAACGTCCTAATCAGAACAAAACGGTTTTTAGTTTGCAATTTTTTTTGGATCAGATATGCGTTGTCGCTTTTGATTTCTTTATTCCATGAATGGAGCTCTCCTTTCAACTGGTCGGTTGTTAAATTCAACGACGCATCAGGCCATCATCATATTCTATCGGAAGAATATCACTCTTTCTTTAGCTGTTTAGCATCTCATTTTTTATTGTGTGCTCCGTGAAACAATTGGTTTAGTTTTTGTTTTGTTTAAAGAAATTGATTTCATTTTTAATTGAAGCATAAATTTTTTTTATTTCTACATTAATTTAAAAATAAATTAAATTTTTTTAAAAATAAATTTAGCGGGTGCTCCCCCAATAATCTTTTGGATTATGCTATGTGTACCCCAAGTTTTGTACCCCAATTTGTACCCTGCAGTTTTGCACCAACACTTTGTGTTGGTGTAAAACTAATTTTTGTTAAACGCACCAACATTTGTGTCCGTGTGAATTTTTATTAACGCACCAACACTTGTGTCGGTGTAAACCATTGAAATTTTGTGCAAACCTGTAGTGTACAAATGGGGTATATTTTTTGGTGTAAGTGTAGCATGGTCCTAATCTTTTCTTACCTTCTACCACATTTGACACATTAGAGCATCTTTTTAGGATAAAGCTATTAGTACCCCAAGGTTTTTTTTATCAAAATGCTCATTTTATTAAATAAGCGAAAGATACAAATGTTTGACAAGCGAGAACAGACTCCACGCTTGTATAAAAGAAATAATCAACAACAGTCAAACTATGTTGTGAAGAGCTAATCTGATATAGGAGAACACATACTTAAGTACAACTAACAAATCCAACCCACAACATTTCACTAAAACCATAACCCAAAATGAATCACTCCGAAAGCCTTTCTCGAAGGAAAGGCCTAAGGTCATGTGTTTCAGGTCGGATCTAGAAGAAATCATTCCCGGAGCCTCAACCCCCGCAAGGGTAAGGCCTAAGGTCATTAGTCCAGATCATTAAAGGTTAGGAGCAAAATGTCATAAAACCAAGAGATGTAATCGACCTAAGTATAGTCCAACATATGCAGAAGAGCTCCTAGGAAATGAAACAACTAGCAATTGAAAAATAATCAAAGGAAAATGAGATATGAGAACTAAAATAAGACCCAGCATGGACCCATCAGCAGCTGGTACAAAATCCAAGCCTAGTCCAAGTGTATGTGCACAATACCTCGGCCCAAACAAGGGCTCGCGTCTCCATGATGCCTAACCGCCATGTCCATTGCCAAAATGAGGAAGGCAAAAAAACTAGCTTGGCCCAATCATATGCCCACATTTGAAGTAATTCCGACCCAACCGAATGGCCCAGCAGAAAAAGCCCAAGCCCAGCAATCCGGCTCAAGCTCTCCATCAGTCCATGCGCCAAACCAAGCAACCGGCCCAGCACCATCTTGGCCCAAACCAGCAGCCCAAGGACAAAGCCCCGCACCGAACCAAATCCAAGAAACAAAATCCAAGATGATGATTGAAATATCCAAGATGAGACAAATGAAGATGAAGATCAAGAGAATGAGAAGAAAAGAGATACCACTATGGGTCAATGGCCAGCCCTTAGCCCATTACCGTCGAACGATAGTGGGTGCTCTATCCTCACGCGCAAGCACTAACACAGGCGAAAGAAAGCTTTGCCGGGCACCACCTAGCCTCCCGACGAGATAGAAAGAATAAGGGGGAGGTAGTGCCCTCAGTCGCCATGGCGAACCATAACGACCTCCCGCTTAGCCCACCCAAAGAAAAAGAAGAAGTACCACTTTAGATAGCGACCAACTGATAACCCCACCGTGGGTACCTACGGGTGCTGAAATCCTCACGCGCTAGAACCAATGCACCCACATACTGCAGGAGCCGACAGGCACCCTTTAACTGCAAGTACATATGTGTGCCTCTTAACCGCAGACGCGGTCGTTAAGGCACCCAAGTTAGTGCAACTAGCGATCATCCTCATCCTTATCAGCATAAAAATGGGTAGATCTTCCATGGAAAGGAAGGATCGTACCCTAGCATCTAGATCCTGCAAAGTGAGAAATTCTCGTGTTTCCTCCCTCCTTGCAACGACTTGATCCACCCGACAATGCGCATGAACATTTTCCAGTGAATCACACTCAAGCCAAGTGATCGTTCCAATTGAACGAAGGAACCGCAGTCTAAAACAAACATCATCCAAATCCTGGAGAGTAGCCTCCCTAAAAACTAAGCCCAGATTAGAGTGGTGTGACACCATAAGTGTGCACCAACATTTTGTGTTGTTGTAATGTTAATTTTTGTTAACGCACCAACATTTTGTGTTAGTGTAAATTTTTGTTAACGCACCAACACTTTGTATCAGTGTGAACTATCAAAATGTTGGTGTATACCTTTGGTGTAAGTTTGAGGTACAATTTTTGGTGTAAGTGTAGCATGGTCCATCTTTTTAATTGGTGTGAAGATAGATGAAAAGATGACCGTGTTAAAATATGGCTATAAATGCATGTTGGGATTTTAAGCGCGTAAGATACCGAAAAATATTGAGAACACCAGAAAAATGAGAGAACAAACAAAAGAAGAATATATGAGAGAAAAAATTATATTTCCACTATTTCAGGACAATATACAAAAACTCTCCCCTGTTTACAAGGCTAAATTCCAGACACTCATAAACAGATCTTTCCACATCCTTTGCCCGGATGTATTTTTCCGAGTAACTAAAACCAGTTACTCCCCACACTCACCTACACTCACCAAGACCCCTTGGATTTTCCCGGTGGTATTCTTGTGTATAATCCTCTTCTTTGTTTCTCTCTCTACCTTGGTGTGTTGAAAACCACACACACATGTCTACCTTAGTCTCACTCTTTTTAAAGCAACCCAAAGCCTTTCAAAACTTGGACTCCCCCGTAGATGCATATGTAATTGCCTAGAAGGTGCAATCCATTTGTTGATTTGCACCAATCCAAAGAGATAGAAACAAAGACCAAAAACAACTCTTCACATGCATATTGTACGTCCAAGTGCATGTCACTTTTCTTTTTCTTTTTTTATTTCTTTTTATTATTTTTCTTTCTTTTGAATATTTAATCAAATTCCCAACAAACTACACCTTGATTAAATAATAAAAAAACTTTGTAGCTCCACCTCACTTTTCTGGTAAGATCACCACTACTCCCAAATAAAAAAATATCCTTGGCTCCATCTCAGTCTGCTCCACCGAGATCACCGCTGCCAATATCAAAGAAGAAAAGAAATACCTCGTGGCTCCACCTTGCTCAATACCACAAGAGCCCCCGCCACTTCTAGTTTCCGTTGAAACCGTGACTCCACCACAACCGATTTCGTCAAGATTCCTGCCACTACCTTAGCTCCCTAGAGTTTTAACCCTCCACCCCGAGCTAAAAAAATGACAACTCACCTTTGTTAATACTCTCTGAGACCACCCGTCTAGCAATTAGCTTCTTTCGATCTGCCCATCTTGCACCGCCGCAGCAACACCTGCGGGACACGCCGCCCTACCTTTTCCTGTCGGGAAGACTTTCGACACAAGACATAAACCATAGTTTTCCACTCCGCTAGGCCACCGATCTCCTCAAGTCCTGTTCCCGCACCATACTTCACAAAGACAGCATGCCGCTTCGTACCCGGTCCCCATGCCATTCACTTTGTTCGTGAAGTCCCATGGTCCCCTTCTGGCCAAAACCGACCAGTCCCTGGGTTCTCAAAATTTCTCCTTTTACCGCTTACAAATCCCTCCTGCCCAGCGCAACCAAGCTCCGATACCAATTGTTGGGATTTTAAGCGCGTAAGATACCGAAAAATATTGAGAACACCAGAAAAATGAGAGAACAAACACAAGAAGAATATATGAGAAAAAAAATTATATTTCCACTATTTGAGAACAATATACAAAAAACTCTCTCCTGTTTACAAGGCTAAATTCCAAACACTCATAAACAGATCTTTCCACATCCTTTGCCCGGATGTATTTTTTCAAGTAACTAAAACCAGTTACTCCCCACACTCACCAAGACCCCTTGGATTTTCCCGGTGGTATTCTTGTCTAGAATCCTCTGTTACAATTTTTGTACGGATTACAACGGACGGGGAAGATGAACGGCCCCGGTAATAAAAATAAATAAAATTCTGAATTTATAATTTATTCAGAATATTACAAAATAAATAAAGTTGAGAAAAATTGCTATATCTTCAAACGGCCTTGTTGTACGAGGACATTAAGGACTGGACAGTGAGGACGTTAAGCACTGGACAACGAGGTCTTTACGCACTGGGCAGCGAGGTCTTTAAGCACTGAACAGCAAGCAAAGGACGTTATGCACAGGGCTGCGAGGACATTATGCACTGGGCTGCGAGGACATTATGCACTAAGACAGAATGCAGCAAGGTCTTTATGAACTGAACCTGCAAAAACACAACACCGTGGAAGGATAGCGGAGTCGCCAGAGCTGTCCTTAAGGTAGTAATGCCCGCCTACCGTACCGGAAAACGTGGGCACTCTCCTCCCAGAGTAAAACCGCTATCGTGTGTGGAGATTGTATGGACCAACCACACACCAACGAACAAGAACAACGTAGGAACGTTGACGACCAAAAACTTTAAAGGGGTTGCCGGAAAAATTGGCCGGAAAATCAAGAGCTCTCTCTAAAAGAAAATAATAAAGTGTTTTCTCTTTTTTTTTCACGCAAGGCACACACCAAACAAAATGAGAGAGCCTTTGATTTTTATAATAAAGGAGTTTAAAAAGTTGTAACTCCTACACCATTAACCCATTGAATTAATCATGGCATTAGTGGTGTGTTAATGGTGATTAATTAGCCATTAACACGTCCGTTACGCTACGCTCCGTTTAAAATTTGTCCCGAATAATTGGAGATTAATGGCCAGTTAACTCCGTAAATATGGACTAATTTTAAACAATACGTAAAATTAATAAAAGAAGATTGGTTCAGTAAAATTGCAAAAATTGCAATCCTCACCATATTCTTTTATTAACGGGTTAACTCTGAGAATCAATTTCTCATTCACCCTCTACCATTTTTGGCGTATAAATTGTCAAAACATTTATCTCATTTAAGAGAACACACGTCCATTAATAAACGGTTAAAACTGTTAGTGGACCTATTGACAAATATACCCAAATTGGTCCATTTAATGCCAATTCAAATGCCAAAAATTCCAACAATACCCCACATGAATGAAAAATTGATTTGGGGTCGACAACATCCCATGATTGGAAACCTGCAAAGAAGAGGTAAGTGTCTCCACTTTTGAACCTGACCCTTGTAAAGTATACCTTCTTTACTGGCTGTTCAGTAGAACGCGATTCTTTGAACTGTACTGCCGCTTGTGTAAACGATAGTATACCATACACAGATTCCAACCAAACGCCGTTCTGTTCTCATGGTTGTGCCCATTTTGGTCGTGGGACACGCGCCTGGTTCTGCGAGAGTGTTTAGAGGATTAAGCCCAAGATCCTCTGTTTGAAGCGACCACACTTCACTCTTACATAGGTGATTCTTTAAGAGTATCCCGATTACTCCCCTTAGACCACCGTGTCTATTGGTTAAGAATCATTAAAGCATATTTATATGCTAACCTCATCATTTCTGGGAGTCACTGTCTTCAGCAGGAACAGAAGGGACTGACCGAAGGTTCCGGTACCGCCCCCACAGTGACCTCGCTTTATCCTACAAGTAGGTTGTCCCATTGAACCTGGGTACCAGCCAGGTTGGGTTTTCCTTCATAGGACTGTCCTAGCACAAGGGCTTCAAACCCATTCCTGCCACCAACTTCTCATGCAACTCATTTGTTAACCCTTTGGTTAGCGGATCCGCCAGATTATCTTTTGACTTCACATAGTCAAT